ATTTGTCATTATATATCCTATGTGTATTCATATAATATATTTAAAAATAATATTTTATCTATCTAAATAGATAAGTATAATTAATATATAAACTTAAACTTACATTCTCATATATCTTTTTGGAGTTTTAGGTACTCTAATACATGTTACTTGCACAAATATTGGTTGATTCTCGTCATCAAATAATGCATTGTTATTTTTCAATTGTTCTTCAGCCAAATGATTAATCACACTAATGCATTGTAATATGTGTTCTTCTGACAAGTCACTTAAATTTATACACTCCAGATTTTCTTCATTATTAATGTTATTTTCTCTTTTTCGCTTTCGTGATTCTGTAATCTTAGAAATTGCTTTTGTATGTGAAGTAATTTTTTTCTTATTTTGTACATTATTTTTCCCAGAAAATTTTGATGTATGTTTCAATACTTTATCACTGGTTTGATTAATTTTATTTTTTTCATCTTGCGATTTTTTATTATTATTTATGTGATTCTTAGTTTTTTTTATACTCTGTATACTTGCCAATTTTGATGATCCTATGTGCTTTTTAATTATTTTACGAGTAGTTACCATGTTGTACTAATAAGAATTATATTATCTTCCCGAATCTGAAAACGGAAGCGGAAACAGCTTTATCGACAATTTTCTTGCATTAACTTGCGTTAGCCATAGATCACATGCGAGTAAAGAAAGTTCATTCATTTTTAATTTTTCATTCAGAGAAATCTGTTTTTTGATCTCTTAATAATAAAAATAAATGTAAATAAAAATAAATTATTCTAGTATTTATACATATTTAGTAATATTAGAAATTATTACAAATTGCATTTATGCATATAAAATAAAAAAGATATGTATTCATGCATAATTAGAACAATTACGTATTGATTAAGCATGACTAAGTTTCTATTAAAAGAAATAAAGATATTGGTTAAGAAGTATTCACAACTTTAAATAGAAGAAGAAAATGATACATATAAACAATTAAAGAAAACAATTAAAGAAATTCAAACTAATTGTACTACATATTAGGCATTATCTTTACTGACAAATCAATTTACTTGAATTAAAATAAAAAAAATTATTGTAAGTATTGTAAAAAAGTTTAACTGATATATGTATACATATGTAAGTAATTTTAGGATTGAATATCAAAATTTTTTGACCTATAAAAACAGGTTTATATTTCTAATAAATTAAATTAAACTTTCACATTATTGTATATGTGAAATGTATTAGAATTTTTATATATCTGCCAAAATATTAACACGTAATTTATAATGAGTTAAATTTGTTCATTACTGACTTATATATTTTTATTATACAATTAAAATTATTTTTAATTATATTTAATGATATATATATATATATATGTGTATGTACAAGTAAATATTTTATGAAAATATACTGAATATATTACTTAGAATCAAAATATATAATAAAAACATAAATTGTGTTTTCATTACGAATATTAATGAAATAAATAATAACCGCGAAATTTGAAATGCAAAGACGATGTGTATTCTTTAATGTATACATACTAGTATAAGCGGCTAATCAAAGTAACAGACTTATCTAGTAAGAGTTCTGAAATAAATATAAATTATATATACTTAGATTTCATTTATTGATTTTTATTTGAATGAAATATGAATTTATTAATAGATTCAAATTTTTCTTGAGACAATAGTAAGGGATACGATGTTTTGTCACCACTGAGGACAACGTTTGTAACTTACTACACTGCGGACCGTTACACTTGGTTAACCAAGACAATCGAGATCAACGATTACTTGTGCAACATACGTCAAAGGTAGCCTCGGCTGTTGGTCAGACCCGTTTCTTTCTTCTAAATCTTTTCATCCTTCACCTGGTTACATTTTATTAATCTCCATACCATCAGTAAATGTCTGTATTGTTTCAACATTATAACGGCTACAGTTTGAATAACGTGTCTCGCTAATTATCAATTTCGCTTTAGCTAAACAGTTCGTAATTTGAAAACGTAGAAGTGACAGAAGGATCGTGATGATAAGATACACAAACGATGATGATAAAAGGCTGACATGGTTAATATTTGCCACATTCTATTATCAAAACAGCCGGAAATATAATGCGCGGACTTCTACGATATGCGAAACGATTGTTAATTTTATGCGTTGGTTTCACAATTTTTTGCGCGATTCTTGTTACTTTTTTAATCTTTCTTGGTAAAAAGGCTAATAAAGAAGTACTTGCGGAAAAAACGGAACATGAACAATGGATAAAAAAGGAATTATTAAAAAATGAACGGGTAAGTCCGTATTTGATTATATTAAAATTTTTTTTTTTAATTAAATTATTGTAAAAATTTGTAAGAATTTATATGTTTTCTGCACTGTTGAATAGAAAACGTTAGTAAGCTCCATAGAATCTCTATTAGCACTTATATACATAGTATTGCTAATTCGCGCCTTTATTCATATCAGATTAGTACGACGTCTGTACTTGGAAGATGGCTCTTGTCTTCTGAAGGAAGTTTACTACCACCGATTATAAATAAGAAAAAGGGACCGTATTTGATTTTAATTTGGAAACACGGGAAGTTTTTGGAACGCAGACACATCAGACGTTTTACGAATAATAAGTTATTAGAAATATTTTTTACAAGATAAAAATATATAATTATTAATTCGCAATAGTGCTCGGTAAAATTGCAATAAATCAGATTTTTAAATTATATAATTTTTTCAATATAAAATTAGACATAGAGAGAACAAGATATCAGATAGATTAAATATAAATAAAAATATTAAACAATGGTGAGACTTGGCACTTTTAAAGAATAACGCATACATTGTGATAAATACCTAAATCAATTATACAAATTTCAATTTTTATTAATCTTCATCTTATTTTTTAAATTTCTATAATATTTATTATATTTTTATTATTGTTAGTATTGATAAAATATAGAAGAAGTACGTAATATAATAACATAAAATTAGATCGAATTGTTTTATTTACCAAGTCTATCATTCGTTCATTTCAAAAATAAAAATGATATAAATTGCAGCAGATTTACAATATAAAAACAATATTTCTTACAAGTATTATGAATTTTTAATTTATCAAAAATTTATGGAAAGATGTGCAGAATATATACAACATACAAAAATATATAAAATATTAAAAGTAGCATATCTATTATATCAGAAAGAAATTTTTATTTCTTTAATTACACTCATAGAAAAATTAAATTACATAAAAATCTCCAATTTATTTATAAGTGTACACAAGTATGCACTCCAGTTTACTTATAAGTGTACATAAGTGTGCACTCAATCATTGTTGCCTGCTTAATACTTTCTCACTTATTTTTATATTTGTAAATAAATTCGGATTATGCCGTGCTTGAGATATCGAGCGGATTGTTGTATAATTTAGATAAAACAATTTTATTGAAATTTAAACGAGCACTAATGCAATAATATAATAGTATATTTTAAATTATAATTTTGTTTAACTTTGAATTTAAACATGATCTCATTTTAGATTTTCACCTTGGGAAAATTGTACAGTGAAATGTGTACTGAGTTATCAATCGGAACATTTAGATATAGCGGATGCCGTTGTGTTTCATTTACATCTGACACGTGACGTATTGGAATTACCAACTGTTAGAACACGATGGGATCAAAGGTGGATTTTTTTGACTGACGAATCACCGATACACACTTTTCTCTACGGAAATCAAGAATTATCTAGATATAATGGTTTATTTAATTGGTCGATGACTTATCGAATGAATAGCGATGTGCCGGTACCTTACGGTAGAACAATTTCTACATCGTTTATAAATTCGCCGAATATAAATTTTTCGAGCGATTTGATAAAGAAATCAAAAACTAAACTAGTCACTATTATGGGTAGTAATTGCAGGGGCACGAATGGCCGATGGGAATATATTAATCAACTGAAATTGATCCTCGGTAATGATCTTGATATATACGGAAAATGTTTAAACGGTAATACAACCGCATGTCCTGGTCATTTTGATAAAGATTGTCCTGTTTTAAATAGCTACAAGTTTTATTTAGCTTTCGAAAATTCAAATTGTAGAGAATACTTAACAGAGAAAGTGTTTTGGCATGGTTATCACAAATTAGCGATTCCAGTGATAATGGGTGCGCCAAAGAAAGATTGCGAGAAATTATTACCGCCACGTTCGTTTCTTCATGTTAGCGATTTTGCTGACCCGGCAGCTCTAGCAAATTACATTCAGTATCTTAATAAATACAATGAAAAATATTTCGAGTATCACGAGTGGCGTAAATATTATAAAGTAATTAATGAACATGGTTATTTCGGCAGTATGTCACGACATTATTGCCGCGTTTGCGAAGCTCTTCATTATAATTCTCCTGTCGTTAAAGTATACGAGAATATGGAATCGTTTTGGAACAAAAAACGAGATTGTATCATCTAGCATTTTTAAGTTTAATTTATACTGTACTGTTATATATTATATAATTATTTAAATTACTGAATCAAAGTTTTAACTTATAACGAGAATTTGTTATTTTTTGTTTATAGTTGTTTTGTTTGATCATTATATTTATTGTAAATAAATTGAATAAAAACATTACAGGATCTATTTTTTTATATTAAATTACTACAAACGAAAAAATTAGTATAATGTTGATTACAATTTATATGTTTTATAAATTGTATTTAAATAAAAAGAAAATATATGTATTAAATGTGATTATTACGTATGACACATATATAAACAAAATATCTAATCGTAAGAATTATATAATCTTCTGATGCAAAACATTTTATCTTGAAAGTATTAAATCTGCATTCAATAACTGAAATAAACTGAAATAAATAAATAGAAAATATAATTAGGTTAGAATATTTGATTATTTTAATACTTGCGTTGTACGATAAAACAGATTAAAATATGTTATGTAAAGATTTTTTTAAACAATATATATAACTATTTATAAGATATAATAATAAAACATTAAAGTAACAAATTTTTCAAAATGTCATTCATAGATTCGTGAATATTCCAATGTACAGTACCGCAACTTTAAAATTCTGTTTCGTTACCACGGTGCTAAAACAACAATTTTTAACAAAACACCGTATAGTTTTTTATCCCATATTGCGCTGCAAAACAAATAATCCTTCTATAATCATGGCTTCAAAGTGCTTTAATGGACATAATGATCACTATAATGGCTTAACCATTGATTCAAACGAAGAATCTTGTGCACCTGAAGTATTCGCTAATCGTCTTACAGGTATATAAAATAATATAATAATGACAATAATATATAGTTATAAAATCTTATTATTCTTATTAATAGTTATATATCTTATTAAATACATTCATAAATTATTACTTATTTTATCAAAATTGAAGGACTTGGCAAACATTTTTCCTAGGAATTAATATTTGTTTATTGTAATTTTTGCAGCATCTTTACAACAATGGATAAAAAATAAAAAACGCACAATATGGTTCCGTGTATATTTACCGCAATCAGAATGGATACCATTACTTGTAAAGGAAGGATTTAAATTTCATCATGCAAAACAAGAATATGTTATGCTTTATCGATGGTTAGTTACAGATGAAGAATGTAATATACCACATTATGCACACACAAATTTAGGAGTTGGAGGATTTGTTTATAATGAGGAGACAGAAGAGATTTTAGTTATCAAAGAAAAATATACAAATCATGCACGTATATGGAAATTGCCAGGTGGTTATGTAGAACCAGGTACATCATTTTCTTACAAATTAATGAATTAGCACAAGAGAATTAGTAACTTAACTTATTGTTGTAAAGAAATTTATAAATCAAATTTATAAATATATGTTTTGACAATTTATAACATATATGATATAAATAGTTGATAATTTATATATGTGATAACAATTAATTAATTTTTTCTTGTGGTAGGTGAAAATTTAGCAGATGCTGTAAAAAGGGAAGTTCTAGAAGAAACTGGTGTCCAAACTACTTTCAAATGTATATTAGCTTTTAGACATGTTCATGATTATTCATTTGGTTGTTCTGACATATATATAGTAGCTTATTTATCGCCTGTTAATTGTAGTATCAAAAAGTGTGAAAGAGAAATTTCCGAATGCAGATGGATGAAGGTAATTTTTATTATCTATTCTTTATTCTTACTCTAATTTAAAGTTTAATTTAGCATTGTAACTGGCTTTTATTGTTTTAGATAAATGATTATTTAGAGCATTCAGAGGTATCTGAAAATAATAAACAAATAACAAAGAAAATATTAGAATTTTTCAAACATAGAATGGGAATGGTTGTGAACCAAGAAATACATTTTGCAACAAACAAACCTATTTTTATATATAACATATCTAAAGTCAATGCATAGCAACACACAAATTGGTTAAAATATATGTATGACCAATTCATTTTATAATTTAAAGTACAAGTGACTTAAAATAACAATTATATTGAAAGTTGAACAAATCAAGTTTAATATTTTAGATACATTTTTTTAAAATAAAAAATGTAAAATATTGATTTTATTTTAGAGTAAATCAATCAAAATTTTTTTAAATTAATTTACATTGTGTATGTATAATACACTGTCTTAATTTGTACTATAAGATAAATGAAACTTATTGATGTCATTAAACATTGTATTATGGCGTTAAACATATATTTTTGAATTAATTGTATATATTGTTTAAATAATGTAATAATTCTAAATGTAATAAAATTGTGCATTACACATTTAAATTTTAGCTTCATATTGTTAGTTATTGACGCTTTTTCAAAATTGTGAAAAAAATGAAACGAAGTTTGAAATTAAACTTGGGGAAGAGAAATAAAGAAGATTTTGAGCAAATATTGTTATATATTTGAAAATAAACATTTAGAATAAATGTTCTTTGGAAACCTGGCTTTATGTTGGAAGGTAGCTTCCTTCAGTTTTGTTTATGTACGTCTTTGTCTCACTTTAGTTAATGATTGACAAGTGCACAAGGAAAATGGGGAAGTATATATTTCGTTAAGGTTAAGGTTATACAACATTATTTTGTTAGTCAGTTTGTTTACGATTCGACTAATTTTTCCTACAAGAAGTATTAAGTGAATAACTCAACGAGAATTCATATGTAGAGAAGCGTTCGATAAAGCACAAAATTTGTCGCCAAGATGAGTAAGATGTATACAACCGCCAACCTTTCTGATAAAGAATTAAAGGAAGAAGGGAACCGCCTTTTCAATCTTCACAAATACGAGGATGCTGCACACTGCTACACCAAAGCAATTGTGAGTGCCACTATGAATCTATGCAGGCAAGTTACGACATTGCATCTCATTCCTGCAGATTAAAAATCCAACCCAAGCACTATACTTTACGAACCGAGCGCTGTGTAACCTGAAATTGAAACGATGGGAATCGTCCTGTCTAGACTGCAGACGTGCTCTTGATATCGACCCATGTCTGGTGAAGGGTCATTTTTTCTTGGGTCTAGCTCTTCTTGAAATGGAATTGTTCGATGAGGCTGTTAAACATTTACAAAGAGGTACGTACCTATGTTGTTGTTTAGGAATTCCACTGGCTTTTTCTCATATATTTATTGCGAAGATATCAAGTTATAATTAAATATTCTGTTCTCATAGATCTTATGTCAATAACATCTAGTATTTGATTAATAGTTGTGATTTTATCACAATTTATCATTTTATTTATTTCACATGATTATAAAAGTAAATGTAAAATGATTTGCGAAGTATTTTACAACAAAAAAAAAAATTTTATTAGATGTAATAATATAGTTTCAAGATATATTTATTTGTGTACTTACCTTCAAAGAGATTTTATTTTGTCATTACATGTTATATTTTTAGTGCTGTATATTATATTTATTATATATGTACATCATACATAGTATAACTATATAGAAATATTTTGTGAATATTCTTTTTTATGGTATTCATGGTTTTTACGGCAATGTGAAACTTGTCATTCACGTGGTTACACATCTCAAACAACTACAACAACATAGCTGTGGATTTGGCCAAGGAGCAAAAGTTAAATTATGGAGATGATATGACCAGCATTTTAAGGCAAGCGCGAAAACGTTGTTTCCAATTGAGAGAAGAACAGAGAATTGCACAAGATATTGAATTACAATCATATCTCAATCAATTGATAGTAGAAGATGCTGAACGAAGATTAGCTGCTTTAAAGGAACAAGAAATAGCTAAAGATCCAGATGATAAAAATGAAGCAGAAGCCTCATCTATCGAATTCACAAGAAAGAAAGAAGAAATAGAAGAAAAAAGAGATATGTGTATGGCTCACCTTAATGATCTATTTGCAAAAGTAGATGAGAGAAGAAGGGTGAGTGTATATTATTTTTAATTACATATAAATTTAATTACATATAAATTAAAGTAAGTATAATATATTATTTGCAATTTTTATAAATATATGAAACAGAAAAGAGAAGTACCTGATTATTTATGTGGAAAAATTAGTTTTGAAATTTTGCAAGAACCAGTGATTACACCAAGCGGAATTACATATGAACGGAAAGACATTGAAGAACATTTACAAAGGGTAGGTCATTTTGATCCAGTCACTAGAGTTCGTTTAACTCAAGATCAATTAATTCCTAATTTAGCAATGAAGGAAGTAGTAGATACATTTTTGCAAGAAAATGAATGGGCATTGTATTATTAATACATAAGGTTACTGCCGTACTTTTACGATCAATGATTGCGTATGTCATGATTATTTTTGGGTCCTATTAATTTGCATAAATGTGTATGTCATTACCTTGTTAGCAGTAAATAGATCATGTATTTATATGTGAAATTCAATTCAACTTTTTTCTATCTTGATTGAATTTAGTTTATTACTTGAACAGTCATTGATTAATTAAATAAGGTTGATAAATAAAAATTTTAATAACAAACGAATATTCCTTCAGTTGACGATTTATATACGAAATATTAAAAATAGCACACTCAGTACTCTTAAATAGGATGTTAAATAATATAGGTCATATAAAAGTGTTAAAACTGTATATCTTTTTCTGATAAATAATTATTCTGATAATAAATTTATTGTTTGATGTATAATGGAATATTTTAATATTTCCCAATTAGATAGATAAAAAATATTGATTTTGTAGTAAGTAATTTTAATTGTTTACTTACATTAATATACAACATATATATTACAATTAATATATTTCACACAATCTTAAATACATTTAGTTTAGTATATTACACATTCTCTAAAAATAAATATATTTACACACAAATACAATATATGGACATAACATGTCATGAAATTAATGTATATTATTTCTTTTTCAAGTGAACAATATTAGAAAAATAAAAGAAAAATTTAAAGAAAAATTACATTTAATGCAATAATAATAGTAGTTCCAGCTACAACAGGTGGCATATAATATTGATAAAAAGCTGGATAAGGTGCTGCTCCCATTAAAAGTATAACCCAACCTGAGAAACATAATACACTGGATAATATTTGAGATCGATTCTTATGATTATTGGAAGGAAGTTGCACCCATCCCATTGTACTGCATGTTACTAAAACTATCCAGCTTTGTAATAATAAAGGATCTTCAGAAGAAAGTTTCATATCATAACTAAAACAAATTTACAAAAACATAGGAATATTTAACAATTAAATACTTGATTTTTATAATAAGATAAATTGCAAACCTGAAATTTTTTGCCCACACAAGTACAGAAGGTATGGCTGGAATAGCAGTAAAACACCAGAGTATGAAAAGGATAAGATGATTAAATATTTTTTGTCTTGTATTTTCATGCCCTTCAGAATCATTTTTCGCACTTCTAAATCGTCGTATCCAGTTAAAATGTTGTAACGAAGCCATTAATAGTTCTTCTAAGTAATCTTCATACATTTTTGTCAAATTCAGAAAATATAGAAAAACTGAAATTAGCATAGCTAAACCTCCACAAGTTGCTGGGATTAAAGATAAAACAAGAATTGCACTAATAAAAGGCAACTGATTTAATCCTCCGAGTAGCCAATCTGACCATGTTGTTGAAAAGGCTATTGCACGAGCTAGAAATCTAAAAAAAAATTGATAAATTTATCCATAAAATGTGATATAAACATTGATATAATTAAAATTTCTTACCTTACAGCAATGTTATGAGCTACTGAACCAAGGAATATAATAGAACAGCATAGTCCAATGGTAAATATGCAAACAATTGCTAAAGCAACTAAACATTCAAATATTAAATCATAATAATATGATAGAAATATCGTAATTACTATTATTGGAGTTTGTTTAAGACCATGATTAATTCTGGTGGATAAAAACAGCAAAAGTAAACTAATAATCGTTGTATACAATAAATACCAGCGATCTCTAACAATACAAGACATTCGATCTATAATCCCAGCTTCTTGAATATTAATTATATATGAACATGCTGGATCTAGAATTATTCTTAAATTTGGAGAAACATTGGAATATATATGTTTAATTTGAACCTTCATTGATTTTGGCCCATTATCTCTAAAATATTAAAATTTCTTTTTATAAAATAATTTTAAAATAAATACAAATTTATTTTAGTTATACTCACATAACAGTAAAAAACTGAATTTGTGTAACTCCAATACTCCCTGGTTCTAATAATTCAACTATTGCATGATGTTTTGGATCTGTACAGTCAGATGTTTTAAGTTCAACAGTAACAACATCCATACCATTATCAAAATTTGCATAATATCTGACATGTCCAAGATCAGACTTTTGAGTTCGAGGTTTTATAAATAAATCTTTCAATAAAGGAAAAGTACTCTTAATAGGTACAAGTCTTGTCTCATAAGAATATAAATCAACATTTATTGTAATATAATTTTCTAAACTATCTGGTGTAATCTTTATTATAATATGTGTTATACCAGGATATTTTATCTCTTGTAAATTTAAGTCAACAGTTTTTCTTAAGCGATGTAAAGGATCTGGCAAAATTCTTGTTTTGTTTGTCAAATTCCAACCCCAATTACTAAATTAAAAACAGAATTATACAGTGATACTTTGTAATCTTTACTTTAAAACAATAACCTTTATATTATATTAATAAGTTAGTATTACCAAACTCTTGATTGTCCTTGTATACTGGATGCTGTACATGCAAATAACCAATCCTTAGATTCTAAATTTATGGTATCAATAGTTAAATAATCTGGTTGTCCATTCAATCTGATCATAAGATAGACAAAGGATGTCTTTTTAGGCAAATTTTTATTAGACCATGTGTAATGTCTTTGAATATTTTCTATCCATATTCCACCAGGTTCAAATTGTATTGTTTCATTATAAGAATATAATCTTTTTCCTGAAGTACGCTGTAAAATTAATTGTTAATTCAAATATTTTCATATATTAAAAGTAGATTAAAAGAACTTTCTTACATGATGAAAGTGATATGACAGTGCTTGCATTCTTTCCTTAGCTGTAGAGGCAATTTTGGGTGGTTTTTGAGTATAATTGACAGAATCAAATAATGAACGCACAATAGAAAGTACTAATTGTTTACACCACAAAATACTCAAATGGTCAGTAGATTTCCAAACATCTGGTATAGTATTGGAAATCACATTAATATCAGCTGTAATATCTAAAATTTGAGTTGAAGTTATAAGTGTATCTCTTGGTCCACCTCCTATTGATACTACACTTGTTCCTGCAGCTTTTATTTCACTTAAGCGTTTTTCTAGATTTTGGTAATAACTGGCAAAAGTATGGTCTAATACTAAAGTAGGTATACGAGGTGCAGCTAAAGTAATGATAATGCTGGCAACACTAGCATTTACATTTGGTGTCATTACAACAGAACCTTTAGCTATAATACCTCCCTAAAAATACAAATATTTTAATATTTTTATTAAAATAAGTTTAATATTATATTTACCATTGAGTGTCCTATGAGGATAATATTATCCATCTTAGTTTTGTATAAACTTAATATCTTTTGTATACAGTATGAAACATATACTGTTTCTTCCATCAATACACCTTGAATTAATTAATAATTATTACTCTGAATAATATATAAATATTTCAAAAACTGTAAAAGTGGTAATAAAACTACTTAACAAAATTATTATTTTTACCTCCATATAAAGCAGAATAATCCTTGCCTAATGAAACAGTAAAATAATCAAAATGAAATGGAGTTCTATCTTTTAGGCTTTTTCTCAAACTAACAGAAGCAAGTGATCTTACTAAAAACAATAAAAGTATTAATAACAATTCAAGCTGAAATTTGTAATACATTTTAAAAACATGAACCTTGTTCATGAGATCCAATATTTCCAGGTATAAAAAGTACAGGTATTCCTGAGAAATACATCCTTCTAAGCTTCTCAGTAACAAAACCTTCTCCATATGCGTATAATCCATATCTTGGATATCGTTCTTCTATCTCAGTATCTAAAGAGATTCTCTAATAATTGTAATAAATCGTTATTGTAATTCATGTTCTTCAAATTATTATCACTAGATTTCAGTAGAATTAGAAGTAATTTGCAAAAGTTAATAGATATATTTGAATCAAAATCATAAAGTATGTTATAAATGTTATTTAACGGGAAACTCAAATTAATGAAAGTTAATTAATTAAACATTTTATAATTTTAATCATAATAATATAATGCTTAGTTTATAATTTTTAATCTATCGCATAATTATCAGTATCATTTAACATAATAATGGTTATTTAACAGGTAAACAGAAAAAGTAGTTTTTTTCTTAAATCTTCGTATGTTTACATACCACGTATTGTGGATATTCAAACATATATGTCATATCACAAGTATTTTCTTCAAAATCCGTAATATAACGAGCAGCTCCAAGTATATAGAGCAAGAAAATTAACATTAAAAATAAAAAAAGTATGGTATAAATTACTGCAGACTTTATCAAAAACATTTTGTCGAATAATATTTTTAATTTTTTGAATGGAGGGAAGCATTACTATTTTGGCACAGAAGTTGGAATAACATGATGTATCCGCCGTTGTACTTAATAATTTAATTATATTACGTTATGAAAGAATATGAAGAACAGAATATAAACAAACATATTTGTTTTTTCAACATTCTTTTTTAAGATGCTCGACAAGGTTATGATACAATGAATATAATGAAGTTAGTTAATTATAACGTGTATTTATGAATACTACATCGTCTATGCTACATGTATGTCTTGTTATACAACATGTTTAAAAAATAAATTAAAAGAATATTTCGACTGATATATAGAAAAATTCACATTTTTAAAAATATAATTTATTTAATTGTTAAATATAAATGTCCTTTGGAGCTTATATTAATATTTTTTGTAAATTATCTATTGGTATCTCGAACACATTATTTCAAATAAAACAGTACAGATGATTGGAAATAATTTTTTTTAATTAATGACATTTTCAGTACTGTCACCTTCTATAACATTTATTCTTATCATTAGTAATAAATAAAATATTATCATTATTATTATCGCCACTGTTTTTATATTAACAATATAAAATTCCAGGCCCAATTCATCTTTAATATTTTGGTTTTGATATTATTTTACAAACAGATATCAAGAAATTTTACATTTTAAATTATAAAATTACGAAACAAAATTTTTTACAAAAAAGTATTCAAACTTATCTTCGATTGAATATACGATAATTATTTAACGCTTTCATTATTGACAAATATTTAAAAAAAAACATATTATAATACTATATAATTACATGTATAAATATTTATATAATTTTTCTTCTGAAATTGATAGCAATCTCTTTTTCTTCTCGTAGAATGGGACATAGAATTAATATTAATATTAATATTTATACTCAGAATTAATATTATACTAATATTTCAGATGTGCAGAAAATTAAACATAAATTATCTAACTAAAACTGATTTCCGCAATCGATCTTTTATAAAAAATTTGCTTGTGAGAATGTCATGAACTTTGAAGTGAAAGGTTCAATATTGTTTATGCTATATTTACTGCATTGAATTAAAAAAATTCATCTATGCACATATAAGTTTATATTTCATATAATTATGCTACATTTAATTATATTATTTTATTTACGTTTATATTAAATAAAAATAAACGTTTATACTAAATAAATAAATGAGGGAAGGACGAATAAAATGCATTAATAAGTTATGTTTATAATAATGTTATATTTACTTATTTGAAAAAATGTGATTATAAGTATATAAAATTTATTGCGCGCTTTAGTATATGTATATAGTTTTATAAAATTGGAATAAGATAATGGATTAAACTATTTCATACAATCTCGTGCTTCTTCAACTCCATATGTTCAAGAAATTTCTACTTATGTGTGTATGTTTCATTTTGTGTGTTATAACTAAAACTGTTCAGGACAAATGTTTTTATATAATAATTTTTAATAGTTGATCATAATTGATAGAATGCATTTTAGATAGTAAATATGTAACAATAAGATTTGTAAAAAACTTTTTTGAGCAATTATGTAAATATACACAACAAACCTAAACAGTTTGCATAATAAATATGTTGCATTTTTTTTTAAATTTTTAATGAACAATTTTTAGTGAACAAATTATAAACATATTAGAGTAAATAAGCTTCTTCTTTTAATGACAGTTATAAATGGTTAGCCTTCATCATTATAAAAATAAAAATACGTTTAATCGGTAGCACTTTCCTTTGATACACTGAAAGGTTCTGCTATCACCTCTGCACCACAATCAGCTATTACAATATCTTTCGTTGGTCTATCTCTGGTATCAGTATTTACATTTTCAATTTTTCTTACTACATCCTGTAAAATTATTTTTATAACATACTTATTAAGCCATGTAATTCAATAGATTATCTAATGAAAATTACATACCATTCCCTTAATTATTTTTCCAAATACAACATGTCTACCATCAAGCCATGGTGTTTGCTTCACAGTAATAAAGAATTGTGAACCATTAGTATCTTTTCCGGCATTTGCCATAGACAACCATCCAGCACCATAATGTTTCAATTTGAAATTTTCATCTTCAAAGCGAGGTCCATAAATACTGCGTCCTAATGAAAAATATTTAATAACATAATTATTACTTAATTTTAGTATTTCTAGTTTTAAATATTGTAAATATTTTAGTTTTAATTATTTTAAGTCATTTTATTTAATAAGATTTGAAGAAACCATTAATTATAATGGTAATAATTAATAATTTTAATGGTAATAAATTATAATTTTAATATAAGATATAACACAAAATATAATACACCAATTTTCAAAGTAACAACAAATATCATGATATCAAACCTCCAGTTCCATCTCCTTTTGTAAAATCTCCTCCTTGAATCATAAATTCACGAATGACTCTATGAAATTTACTACCCTTGTATCCATCTCCTTGAGGTTTTTTAGATAATTCTATGAAGTTTTGAACAGTCTTTGGAACTGTTTTTCCAAACAGTCCAATTTCAATCCTTCCTTCATATTTACCATCAATGTTAATATCAAACCATACCTACGTATATAATATATAGATTCAATTATTTTTTTTAATTTGACAAATTCGTAAAAATTCTTTAGAAATCATTGTTTAGTACGTTATGTACGTTATGTATACAGATAAAAAATTATATTCTCAATTGAAAATTATATTCTTAATTATTAATTTGAAATTAATTTGAAAAAATTTTTGTGACATATGTATAAAAAATAAAACGAAATATAGAAATTTAAGGTATATTTCTCAATTCGAAAATAAAAGAGATTATTCTGCAATAATGAATCACATTATGTTTACTTAATTTTATTTTTATCTGCTTCATTCAAAAAGAAATTCTTTGTTAACATATCTGATATTTCATACCGGTGTATTTAATTTGCCTACCTTGTCTGTAACTTTTGGGCCTTTTTTATCATCAGCATTACTGCTCGAACAAAAGATTGCTAACACGATTCCCACTAATAAAAGCGATTTCATTATTAATAAAAGGAATTTCAATTGAATGGGAATTAACCGGACAAAAACTTTTCAGCAACTGTACACTTTGTCAGAATGGTATACAGTCAAACGTGGATCCCTTACGCATGCGCACATATTAGAAATGTGGGATCGTTCGATTGGTTCCATTCACCTTGCATACAACACAAACTTCGTGAAAGAAGAGAATTGCGAAATATTTTATCAATTTCATATTAAAAAATTGAAATAGATTATATGACACGATATGATATTGTTTTAGTATTTACTCAGCGATTTTTGTTAATATTTATTTTATTAATTATGGAATTTCATATACAAGAATGTACATATACTCTTGCTCCATACTCTGTTAAAAATAAAATTTTAATATTTGCGATCTAGATATAGAATGTTAAAAACTTTACATATTAGTATAATTTGATATAATTTCCGGTACAAATAGATTTATTCGTTATTCCATTTTATTGATTACTATATAATGTGTAGGATGGAAAGAGAAAGAGAAAGACGGAGAGAGAGAAAAAGAGAGGAAAACATTTTTGTTTTAATAAAATTATAGAAAATTCTAGATTGTTAAATAAACATAGGATAATGACATCGTTAGGGATCAGTAATTGTCTGTTTTAGGAATCAATATCATTTTTGGTTATTACATATGAAAATTAGTCATAAAATCCGAATATTTACTTAAATTTATTTCGGTTGAAGCAAGCAATTAAATTAAATTCCTTCGAACGAACACAAAGTCACATATTTACGTAATCAAACGGTTTAGGAAATTTGATAAAAGTTCGATTATCGATTAATTGCTTTCGATACTCAAAGTAGTGCTTATTTCAAGTAATCGGTGAAGTTGACCAGATCGCGTGTTTTACGAATAAACGAACGTTCGACGTTATTTCTCAACATTTCTAATGATTATTGAAACTTTCGAAAATAAGGTATATTTTTTCCTCTAAAAATCAGTTTTAAATTTAAATTATATTACGTTACAACATAAAAAGAAGTAATTACGTTAACATTGTATTTCTGCTTGAAATTTTTTCGATTCATCGAATGAATGTGCATTTTTCTACTGTTTGTATCGTTTATTTACCACATGCGTGATTTGTCAAATAGAATACGAAATTTATAATTTTATCGTTCAACATTTTTTGAAAATTAATAACGTTCTTACTTTTAATAAACATGATATATCTAGTATTATAAAGTATTTTAGTGATTGAAATTTGTTTCTGTGTACAATAAAATTACTTTTTAAGTGCTTGCTATTATTATTGTGATTTACCGTTTTAAATACTATTTTTTTTTTGTAAGGAATCATTATATCCTTTATAAAATGCGAATAATTTGTTGAATTTTTTTGAAGATGGAAGATGAATCTATACAACCAGGAACAAGTCAAGCTGATTTTATTGAAAAGGAATTGAATTTTGACATAGATCCAAATGAACCGATGACAAAAGCAGCTTTAAATGAACATCCGCCTGAAGAGTGGATAGATATTTTAGGAAATGGACAGCTTAAAAAGAAAGTTGTAGAAAGTGGGGAAAATGGAACACGTCCAAATAGATCTGACATTTGTACTTTAAAAATTGTTGGTAAATTAAAAGATGGTACGATAGTTGAAGAATATGAAGATCTCAAAATTCAATTGGGTGATGTTGAAGTGATTCAGGTACTGAATGATATCTTTATTTTTAATATGTTTCTCAAGGACATTTTTAAAAATAATGCTCTAATGATAATATTGATTATTCTGTCATAATGATATATATATTTTATTGATGTGAACAATAATATGATTATTATTAATTCTTCAATGAGAAAGATTTTACTTAATATAATAAAACCAATAATATCTGCATTATATTGTTCAATTATAGGGATTAGATTTAGCAATTGCTTTAATGGATGTAAATGAAGTTGCTGAAATTGAAGTTGATCCAAGATTTGCTTATGGCTCTCTAGGAAAAGAACCGAATATTCCACCAAATGCCGCTATTTTTTATACAGTTCAGTTGAAGTCCAGTGAATTAGAAGAAGAAATAGAAACTCTCAATGTCAAACAACGAAAAGAAATTGGGTAACATAATTACTTTTTTACATAATTATTAAAATTACTTGAATTTATAACTAATCAGATGCCTTTATCTCTTCTAAAGCAATAAAAAACGAGAACGTGGAAATTGGTGGTTTACTCGTAATGAACCAATACTTGCGATTCAGTGTTATCGGAGAGCATTAGAATTTTTGTTACCAACAGAAAGTCGTACATCCTATCAGAGTGAAGCAGAAGATACCACTACTGATGCAGAACTGCAGGCTTTACTAGAAGATCGTATGAAAGTATATAATAATTTAGCAGCTGCACAAATGAAAACACAAGCTTATGATGCAGCATTAAAAAGTGTAGAAAGTGTCCTGAGTTGTCAACCTCAAAATATAAAAGCACTCTTTAGGAAGGGTAATATTGTACCATGTATTGTTTCATATAATTAATGTACAATAATAATAGTTATATATTGAACATGTTACATTTTTCTAGGAAAAATTTTGCATTATAAAGGAGAACATGCATTAGCATATCAAACATTGCTTCAAGCAGCAAAATTAGACCCAGAAACAAAAGCTATTCAGACAGAATTAGCTATTTTAAAAGAGAAGAATGCTAAGGATGCTCGACATGAGAAAAATCTATATCGTAAAATGTTAGGAACACACAAAAATAACAATAATTCTCAAAAAAATACAAAAAAACAAAAAAGTAGAAATTCATCAAAACTTACATGGAGCTTAATTGGTGGAGCAGCTGCGGCAGTTCTAAGTGTATTCTTATATAGATTTGTTTCGTGAGAAAAATTTAGGGACAAATTAAAATGAAAGACAATGTCTAAATATTGTGTATTAGTATATAATGAAGTATCATTGATTTCAAATGACTATAAAAACAAGTATAGGTATAAAATCAAGTAAGTTGTAAAAATTTGATAATTTTAACGTATAAAGAAACCCCCCCAAAAAGATCGTACTATTAATAACATTTTATTTAAACTTTGTTCAAATCTTGCATTTTATATTACAAGTTGCAACAAAAATTAATGTGTAAAAATAATTGATTTTTGTCAATTGGATATTTACATTAATGTATGTGATACTGAAAAGTTTATAAAAAAAAATCGAGATTGTACGCGTTGTGAGTAATATATACTTTAAATCATTACTATAAACTTGACATAGATTTTAAAATGAACTTTTTTCAAATACATTTACAAATATTTAATTAATAAGAAAAAACTTTATAATTCTATTTGTATTAATTATTTATTTATCTTAATATCAATAATAAAATGAATACTTCCGACTTTTTTTCTTACTATTATTTTATATTAACTTTTAGAGTAATGTATGATACTGTATAATAAATATGATTCTATGTAAAAAAATATAAATCATAAAAAATTACTATATACGAGATATAAATTCAAGCATAAATGTCCTATTAAATAATACTAACTAAATAAATTAATACTTATAAAATTTGGATAAATAAATATACTTAATTACTTTATATTTTAAGAAATAGTAATTTATATGGAAAAGATTAATTTGGAATGTTATGTTTCAATGGAATAAATATATGGATTCATTTGAAACCATACATGTATTATTTTGTAATTTTTTTCTAAGATAGTCATACAATTTTTTTCTAAGATAGTTATAAGTTGTTTATATTTTTAATAATAAATAAGAAATAAACACTAATTACGTTCATTAAAATGTATATTTTTAAGCAACTAAAATAATGATAACATTTTTATGACATTTATACATTATATTGTATAAACATTAATGCAAACAGTTATAAATAAAAATCTAGAAAAATTATTATACAATCATTTTAATTATTAAATTCTAATTATTAAATGCATGACAAATTTTGATAAACTTTAAGTATTACAAAATATATCACATTTTTGTTCATTAGTTATTAAAAATTTTAAATTATTCTTAAAATAATTTTAGGCAGTTTCATGTACTTTTTGTAGACATTTATAAATTATGTTAATTCTATAATTTTGTATCCATAAATATAAGCAATTCTTTAGGTTATAAGCTAAATATGTTATAATTGTAATTAAAAATTTAAAAATGATGAAAATGATTGATTTAAATAATTTTCTATTGGTAAAATATCTACTTTGTTAATATTTGAATCCACAAAAGATGTTTCTTCAACAGTTCCTAATGATAATTCAGAATAATTTGTATGATCATATAAATTTTGATCTGTATTTAAAATTCCATGTTGAAGTTCCATATCTTGATAATTTGTTAAATTCAATATTTCATTACAACTTATTTCAAATTGATCTATAAGATCATTCATTATTAATGTTTTTGGGCTAGTAACTTCCACAGTGACAATTTGTTCTGAATTAATATCTACTAATGAAAGAACCTGTGAAGTAAAATCTGGATTCGAAAATAAATTTGTAGATTCTAATGGCAATGATGAATTTTCGCACAAGTCATTAGAGATGGGTAATATTTGCGTTTCTAAATATGAATCAGAATGTTTGTTATTAATATCCATGTCTTGAGAAGATGAAATTTTTTCATCTGATGATAAAAGTATATTAGGTCCTGTGTTAATTTTTAATTTTTTAGGTTTAAGGGGTTTTGGTTTTTCTGGTATTGGAACAAGATGACCATCTTCTGTTTTCATAAGTTTTACGACCTGTTGATGTTTATTATATTTTAATTGTATAATCAAATGATATAGACAAATTAAAAAATAGAATAGATATATGTAATTATGTTCACCTTCTTTTTTCTTTCAAGTATAATTCTGTGACAAGTTTCCATATGACGAGAAAGATGATGGGACCTCTTGAAAGCAGTACTGCATTGCATACAAGCGAATGGTCGATATTGCTGATGAGATAATTTATGTCTTTTTAATAAACTATTTCGTTTAAATGCTTTACCACATTCTTCGCATATAAATTGTCTTTCTTTATTGTGTATATAAAGAACATGATCATTAAGAATACTAACACTAGTAAAAGTTTTACCACATTGTTCACATACGATATTTCTTTGTTCTACATGTAACTGTTTATGCCTATCCAAGTCTGATTTTCTTGCACATTGAAATGTGCAACCATATATATTGCATGTAAATTTTTTTTCTTCTTTATGTATACGTCTAACATGTTGATCAAGAGCTCTCTGTGAAATTAATTTCTTAGAACAAATTAGGCATGTAAAAATGTCTCTTTGAGATATTTCTCTGTTTACTTTATTGAGATGTGATGTAGAATCCAAATGACGAGAATAATCATCTTTTTTTAAAAAAGTATGTCTGCAGTCAGCACAAAAATATATACCTATAAAACGATTAATTTTTATAAATTACGTATGTACATTTTCCTATTCTGTTTCAAGAAACTCACCATTATTTGATATTTTATTATGATTCAATTTTGAAGAATGTACCATTTTATAATGCTCATGCACTTTTTTTTTTGAAGCAAAAGTGACATCACATTTTGAACATTTATGATTATCATGATTTTGAATATGAGCTATATATGTTTGTTCAATACTAAATGTTTGTAAGCATCTTTTACATTTAAATTGTTTCTTTGTACAATGATTTTCTTTGTGTTCCTTATCATCTTCTTCTGCTTTCAACATTTCCCCACAATCTGAACAAACTTTGCCATTTTCATAATTGTGTTTTGCACGATGACGATTTAATAAAATACGTTTAGGAAAACTCCGAGAACATACATCACAAGAATGTGGATGTTTTGTTACTCTTTCACCATGTGAACGAAATAAATGTATATCAAGATGTTTACGTCTGGCAAATTTTGCATTGCAGTGAGAACAATTGTTTTTTTGATGACCTTCCAAATGCCGATCTAAATGTCTTTTGTATCTAAATGTCATTGAACACTGACTACATGTTCTAACTTGTTTGTTCAATATAACTAAACTATTGATTTTTTTAGATTGACTAGTTGATGTTGAAAGTTTAGTTTCAGGATCATTATTTTCATCATTTAAATTTTCATTCTTAACTTCTAAATTATGTGATTTGTCTTTCATTTGAGCAAAAATATTTTTTTCAAATATAAAAGTCTTTTTTATTTTAATAGGAATATTATTACTTTTTACATCCTCTGTATCAATCGCATTATTAATTTTTATTAATTTACTATCAGTATTTTTCTCATTTAAATGAGTCACAAATTCCACCGATTCATTTTTCATTTTTAAATGATTTTGCTCTGTGTATTTCAATCTTAATTCATTCTGAGAATTTGGTATATTCTGTAAAGAAATATTTTCTGCTTTTATAGAATCAATTTCATTATTATTTTTATAATCATTATTTTTTTGTGTATATGTGCTCTTTAACTGTAATTCAATATTTGAAGAGGATAAATATATTCCTGAATCTTTAGTCTCAAATTTATTTACACAGTCGTGTAAATAATCAAAGACATTAATTTCATTAATCTCTGAAGGTGATTTTTGTATTATTTGTAGTGTTAAATCAACCTAATAAAAAAAAATTTAATCTATAATATTTATGTTTATATTATTTCTTCCTTAATAAAATTAGTTAATGTTATATTCTTATATTCTTATTTCTACTTTTATATGTTTTTCTCAAAAAATCTTACCTGATCTTCAAATAAATGTCGTGATGATATTTTCGATTGTTGGTGTTTTGTATCCGACATTCTTTAAATTATTTTAAATGACAATTATGGATCATGCATATAATATTTCGTACAATAATTCATTTGGTACTACTTATTGTACGATAGTCTTTAAGTGAAAATTAAAATTAAGCATCCCATGACATTTATGATATAATTTAATATAACCTAAAAGAATTATTATAAATGAAAAAAATAAGTTCAATTTAAATAGATCAATTATCTCAATTATATAACTTTAATTAAGTTATCAAATAATTATATGTAAATACATTTTTCTATTCGTAATATTTTAATATGCACAAATGTGTTATATTTTTTAAATTGACAATCATGGTATATCGGACATAACGATTTTATTGTACCATTATTCTGATTGATATTTAAATACAAATCTATTAATTAGAATATTTTTTACAATACGATCATTATATACCTAAGATTAAATGTGGTGCATATTTAAGATGATACTTATCTATGTATAATTATTAATATATTTCATATAGGTATACTATTTATTTAAAGTAGTGAGATATTAGCATTTTTATTCAAATAATATTTTAAAGATAAATTGAAATAAAATTGATAACATTAAATTTCTACATATTATTTATAGTATAAAATCTTAATAAATATAATTTACATAAATATACATAAATATAATTCATAAATATAATTATATTAAATTTATTATATTATTATTATAATAGTCAGATGCAATGTTTTAAATTTAATTCAGTGTGTTATTTAATTATTATAGTTAGAATTTAAAGATTTCTAAAATTATATGTTAACAAATTTAGAAAAGAATTATTAAGATTATTAAGATGATTATCCAAGATTATTTATCCAAAAATTATTTTCGTTATTATTTCTAAAACAAATTAAAAATTTTTGTAGTTAAAGAATTTAGTCAAAATATATATTAATTAATGCAAAATTAGTTTAATTATTTTATTGTATTAGGATCTTCTTATTACTGAATTTAAATTTATTCATCTGAAATAATGTATTTATATATCATTTTATCATAATATATATATATATATATTTCCCGCTACATTTATTTTAGCCAATCAGTTTCAAGTGATTTTAACTTGTGGCGGCATCTTTTAACAAAAGTCTAATGTGAATCTAAAAGTCCAATATGAAAAGTTCTCGTCACAGAGACTTAGTAGACTTTTAAATTTAGTTGAAATATAGTAGCAATTATTTTTTTATTAAAGCTGTTTTACTATTATGTTTTAATATTATGTTTTAATATTATGCACATATTGCGTGTGAGTAAATTTTAACTTCCAAATTTTATTTAGAAACAAGAATTTTTTTAAATTTTTTGACACAAATTTAACCTCTATAAATATCAAGTGTGAAAATGTGAAATATTTAATATAATATAGTGCTATAAATAAAAATGAGCGAGACATCTGAAACACAAAATAAAGATATTGGTCCCGGAGTAATAACTGAGCAAGAACGTGAATTGGCTCAAAATGCGTTATCTGAATTTCAAAAGGGATCATATGCAAATTGTCTGTCATATTTAAATAAACTAGAAACCCTAAGGCCCAAAGACTTGAAAGTAATGCATAATAAAGTTGTAGTAGAATGTTATAAGAATGATTTAAAGAAAACAGAATTATTAAGGATAAGCTTAAATGCAATATGCGGACAAATATCTACAATAGATTCGACTGAAACCATAGATGATATTGAAAAATGTGTTATGAGATACAATCAAGCAGTTTTATTATATCATACAAAACATTATAATGCTTCGCTTCAAATTATGAATAGGTTATTTGCTTTTATAGAACCCATGGGTAAATAACATATTGATAAATTTTATAAACCTTCAAGATTAACAATACTAAGTGTTATGAGTGTGACATTTTCTTCTAGAGGAATCGCTAGCACATAAAGTATGCCTTCTGTTGATAGAACTACATATAGTAACAGAACAACCAGATGCAGCATTATCTTTAATTAATTATATAGAAAGTCAACTTATATCCACAGATAATTCTAAAATTTCGTCTGTTGATAAAGAAGGTATAATAAAATCCATAAAAGAACAGAAGGAACCGAAAAAAGAAGTTGATGTAGTTACAGATGCATTCAAACTGAAATTATTAAAGTGCAAAGCTAGGATATATCTTATGATGCATCAACTGAAACTATGTAAAAGGGAGTGGAAGACATTAGTCTCTTTGGGTACACCTGTAGTAAGATATAACATTTTTAAAGATAATATTCTTATATTATGTGTCATACTTGCTATTTAATCTCTTTTATTTCCAGAATATATCAACTGTATTTTTAAAAGCTAATCTTGAGTATTTAAGAGGCAATTACAAGAAAGCCATTAAATTACTGAATTCTGTAACATCTGAGAATTTCGATTTTAAGTATGATAATTATATTACATCATAGAAAATTTTATTTTATAGTTACAATACATTTCCTATTGTATTTTTTTATTCTAGAACCTGTGGAGAGTCTTCTGCTGTATTATATTATAATAATATGGCATGTTTACATCTTGCTATGGGTAAACCAAATTTAGCATGTTTTTATTTAAGAAAAGCTTTACATGAAAATAAATGTGCTCTAGAAAGTATACAAGTAAAAGATAATGGTAATTATAATCAATTTTTTAAAACAATTTTTTTTTTTATATAGAAATATTGGAAATAATAATTTTAAAAATTATGTCTTCATGTAGATCCTTTATCATCACGACCATTATATACACTTGGTGGAAATAAACATTATGAATTAATGTATAGTCTAGGTGTATCACTATTGCATGCAGGACAAGCATCAATTGCTTTTGATTGTTTCATGGAAGTTGCGCAAAAACTTCATAACAATCCTAAATTATGGTTAAGGATTGCTGAATGTTGCATTTATTGTCATAAACCAGTAAATATATTTATTATATATTAGAGTATTAATTAAATTGTAATACA